GCTTATCGGACGGTTCCCAGGCGCGCGGTGCACGTGGGTCTTTATCGAACGGTCACTCGGTGAAGCAGTAACCTGGACACGTGGCGTGTAGTGATTCAATAAGTCGACAGCGTAAAATAACGGACGATGCGCGGCCGCGAGTTCGGCGCGCAGCCGGGAGTCGGTGCGCAATCGTGCCGTTACATCCCAGCTCTGGAGTCTCGCGCAGGCAAGGCGATCATCGAACGGATTGCCCACCAGTACGACGACCTGCAACATCTTGAGCGATGCACGCGCGTCTTCCTTGGCGGGGGCCTGCAGGGTGTGCGGGGAGACGCGGCCTTACTGGAGAACCTTCCGGACTGCCATAATTCGGAGGTCAGTCTGAGACTAGCTTTCCCCCTTGTCAATTTCATTTTACCGTTTGTGTGCCTGACGTTGTGAGCAATGCGGCGGCAGTGTCCAAGTACATCTCGGTACTTGCGACAGGTGTGACATGGCAGCCGCAGTACGATTATCCTGTTTGCACCGGTGAATCTTGGAAAGCCGGGTCCTGGCTTCGGTGGAGGTCGATTGTTATTTATGTCCAAGTACATCTCGGTACTTGCGACAGGTGTGACATGGCAGCCGCAGTACGATTATCCTGTTTGCACCGGTGAATCTTGGAAAGCCGGGTCCCGGCTTCGGTGGAAGTCGATTGTTATTTGAAGCCCTCCACTGGTAAAATGAGCTTTATCTTCCGCGGCTTGTTCATCGTCAATCGCAAGGTATCTACATGCTCCCTGCCCGTCGCAAGCAAGGCTGAAAAAGATGGCTCTCGAGGTTGCGGCAGGAGCTCTTCCAATGACGTGCAGGCATCTGGTCCGCCGTTCCTGATGTCAAAATCTGGTTCAGTACTCGTAGTCGGTCAGGTCTTGATTGGCGTAGCCAAGCCTCAATGTAACCACGCCCAAGAGGGCTGATCCGTGAATCAATGAATCCCACTCGTCCAAGGGCTGTGGCCATCTTTCCCTTTTTTCGAAGGTACTGTTTTGAACCATTTTGACGGGCCGATCTGCAGATCCGGGTGGCGAAGCACGCTGCCATCGCGCCTGGGAGAGGGCGCCGTTATCAAGAGCACGTCTCCATTGCGCGCACCGACCCGAGGTTTCACGGCAAACCGTACTACAGCAACGTCGCCATCCTTGCTGCAGATGGCAGCGAATGGTACGCCAGTGTTAGGTTATTCTTTTCGCTCGTAGACCAGCGGGGTCGCACACGCAATCTGGCTTTTGTGAGATATCTGGAGGAGCACAGGGTGCCGGACGCCACTACATGCAAGCGGCTGAGTTGGGCGAAATACGTACATAGAGGCCAGCAAGTCAACAGGTGGTATGACGTTGTTGAGTTGAAGAGCATCTTAAGAATAGTCTACTTGGTAAAGGACTGGAATCGCGAGGGGGGCTTCTATTTAAACAGGTTCAAATGGACTGTAGAAAAAAGGTATATAGGAAACAAGCTCTGAGGTGTCAATTAGCCGAGCAACCGTGTAGCGATCAGTTGCTTGTTGATTGCGAGGACTCGATGCGCTGAGATCAGAGACTGGGTTGATTTGAAGCTGTGATTCTCGTGAGTTGGTTTCGATCTGGAAGAATATGCCCTTTGAGAAAATTCTTGGTAGGGCATTCAAGTCGCAATGCATATATGGCATGCTCGATGCCAGCTGCGCAAGACGTGCTCTGGCATATGTTGCAGTCCACTGCTTTCAAATCTACATCGTGGCATGCATGCCGGCCCCGGGCGCGCACAACAAGACGGTAAACGGTCGCTAAGTTACAAGTGATGTGCATGGTCGGATCATTGGAACTACGAGGTCCACATCATTGCCATGATGTTATTGCCATGATGTACTAGTGTATGCTTGCGCGGTCAAATATGTGCACTGTCGTTACTTCTTCGATTGAGATTGCGCCTAGCTTGCATAGCCGTCAAAATATATCTGATACATGACGCACGCGCACCACTCAGCTTCGCATCCATGCACCGTCACCTCCCAAATTGTACCTTTGAAAGTAGGCATGGATGACGGTGAGTAATACCTTACCATCATTGTCGACCGAGGTCATACTCTCAGTCGATCATATTGACAACAAATGGCAATCTTGAAAGGCATTCCTCAACAACTTTACACGGATACTATGCACTTCCTATACAAAAACCACACGGTCTCAAACCTGTATGGAACCTTACCGTTTGTATAAGGAACGTTCAGGTCTACGTAGTTCCATATGAAATCCATACAATTCCTATACGGCCCGTGTCCCTGTGCATGATTTGTACCGTTTCTATATGAACCTATATTGGTTGCCGTTTCGTGATGGTTATGCTGCCACAAAATAGCTATGTTCCTTTACAATGCCGGGCCTGGCAGTCGTACCAAGCAAAACTACCTGATAGCGTTCCGATGGCTTCGCCAGCGATTATTGTTCACCTTGTTTAGATTTTGTCAATGTCATTGTCATTGTCATTGTCATTGTCATTGTCATTGTCACATTGTCATTTACATTGTCATTGTTATTGTTACTGTTTCAATGTCATTGTTATTGTAGTATTGTTATTATTATTGTTGCATACGTGACATGCGTTAATATACCTTGATGGTAACTTATGGTTTATCAACGCCATGAGCCACACTGAGGCATCGGGCAAAGTCTGCCGGTGAGACCGGGACGGTATTGTGTTGACTCTGCAGCTGATCATTGAATAGAGTCAGGTCAAGATACTCAGCTATTTGTTTACATATAGTATGCGGCTTAGATAAAGGAACGAGACACCGGCTTCTATCCATGAATAACCCACCACCAATGGCATGCTTTCGGGAATTTTTAGCATGCATTGTCATATCTTTGGGCATCACTGTATCGAGATATCGACCAATGGCCATATTAAATATGGATTACTTCGCACATCCTCAGTATCATCAGGCTGATCTTTCAGATTTGGCCCCCCATATCCATGTGTGCACGTCGTGCCGGTCACGGTACTCTTCGAAAGTACCATAACTCGTCACCGTTATTAATACTTCAAGGGCTTAGCGAGCGCGCTTGCAATGGCGATCGGACGCCTCGGATCGCCGGATACAAGACGGCAAGTGCCGTCCTCGGTTTTGATTGGTCAAAAGAATTACGCCGGTGAAGCAGTCCGCCAAACCCCGACGCCCACTTAACAAACAAAGTCCTGGCCATTCAAAATAGCAGGCCAATCGTAGCACTCTTACACTCTAGAGGTATCCACACCTCTCAACACGAAGGGTTATATGGTCAACAATTGTTTGGTGAGCACAATGATGCGCATCAATTGGGACAAAGGGCACTTCAAACGCATGAGCAAACTGCCAATCAACAAGTCCGATCCTTAGAAATGCAACTCAAACATCATTCCTTCAACCGCACATCAAACTAAGGCTTGAAGCTCATGAGCTCCATCGAGCCTCGTGCAAAATGTCTTTGTCTTGCAATTTGAGATTTGCGCACAATGAGATGTGCTTTGCATGTACTCAATATTGCAAAGCTGCTACCTAGGTACCGCGCACCGCTACCTTCTTCACTGTGTGTTTACCCGGCAGTGTATCTTATCGACTTTGCCGGTCGGAAGCAATACAGGCCACGAATTTAGTAACCATGACAATGAACCTGCCCAGAAAAGACCATGGCCTGTTTGGCTACAGCAAAGAAACTAACAACCCATTGTCCATCCAACTTGAAGGGTCCAAGCATTCAATATAAAACGAGTTGCGGGACCCCTTAGACATAAATCGCCGCTTTCGTCCATGACCGTCCTGCCAGTGAGCCCAACTCACAGCGAAGACTGGGTAGTGCTTCGATCCCTACACTTCATCATCTCATATGGAGCTCTCGACCTATAGCCGGGCTCAAGGGATGGAATATATTGAGCTCTCTTTCTACATCTCACACCTAGCGCAAGCAGATAGCAAGCAACAAGTTGAGCAACCTGGTATATTGCAGATTTGAATCCATAACTCCCAAATTGGATTCGGCTCCATTGGTGACCAGCAGCCGATCAATTGGTGAGACACGGTGGTGTCACTTCGAAGAGTCCTTTTATGGTACAGCGCAAAAGAGAAAGGGCTCACTATATGCTGAACCACAAAACAGCACTAAAAGGTCTCATGCCCTACATACTCCAACCAACTTCTACACCGTTCAACATCCTGGAAAGAATGAGCTACATTCTCAATGAATCTCTTCAACATACTGTCCCTTTTAGCTGCGCTACACATGTGCTGCATACGACCAGCCTGTTCTAAACCTAATTGAAACGATCAGACTCCTCCCAATCGCCCTCTCCACCAATAATGTCATTATACATGCTTCACTTCTACAGAAGATTGCAATAAAGTTGCATTCAGTGACCAGACCTGCATCATCATACCTTTCTGAACCTCAACCTCCTCAGCCTCCAAGACTGCTCCACTTGAAGGACGACATTGTACATCCCCTATGACTAAAATTGGCGCCTTTTTCCTACTCAGACTTTCGCCCTCACCTAAGTCCCACTTTGCAGAACCAACAGCCAACCTCGTCCTGGTCCCAACTGTCTGAAGTGAAGTCTTCTATGCCTTCTGGCAAGTCCTCCCCTTTGAGGTCAACTCCTTGTTTCTTGAAGTCAACATACCTGGGAGCTCGGATGGACTCAAAGAACGGGTCGAACGGCAGCTTCTCCTTGTCCAGCTCAGGAGCCAGAGTCACCCAATGTGTGTCATATTCTGGATCATACTCTCCCCTGCGCTTCCGCCTCACTGCTTTTTCCCCCTTCCCTTTGCCCGGCTCTACTAGCCTGCTCCCCTTTCTGATGCTTGTTACATCTGGCAAGCCCAAGGCCTGCCTGGCCGCAGCGCACATGCGCAACCCAAAAAGAATTGTCTTGTCGCCTATGCAGCGGGGCATAGGGCCCAGCGCCAGGAAGCCTGCCCCAAGTGCTCCATACAGTGCAGCATACAGAGCATCTGGGGCCCCGTCCTCTTCAGGGAGCATGTTGGCTGCGCCAAAAGACAAACTGATTCTGGTATCCATGTATCACTGGCATAAAGACAAGAACTTTTCCTTGCCAACAAACAACAAGCTGCTGCTTTCCAGGCTGTCTGAAGCACCCACAGCTGAATGCAAACCGACTCGAAGTGTCAGCTTGAACCAACCAGATTCCTGCAACAGACATGCATACTCAACACAGGTCGAAGCTGCATGCTTCAGAATGTCCACCATGCTTCTCATTTTGCCTTTTCCCCCAATTCTGTAATAAGAGATGTACTCTTATCACCTGCCAAAGTAGTTCTTCCCCCAACAGCTCACGTCATAACAAGAGCCGTAATGCACCGCAAGTTTGCAAGCCTTCTCTAAACCCTTCAAGAGCTCGTTTTTGAGGACCTTACCTGCCATGAATCCTGCCAACGCTGCGGCTGTCATGGCTGCAGGGGCTATGCAAAGGCCAATAGTGTAGCCGAGACCATAGCTGACGAGCTTGAAGCCCCGTGGTAAAAGATAGCAAGGAGTATAGGGTCGCAAGCTCCTTGGTATCGACAGTTCCAGGAAGACTGGAGGACAGAGAGGTACCCAGACCGCCATGCTCCACAATATATAGCAAGTGGAACAGGCAGAACCCTAGGTCTGGCACCGCCCTCCCCAAAACCTATTCATCACAGCCTACTATGTTCTTGCTGCTCTTCTTTTCGCTATTGTTTTCTACTTGTACCATCTGATAGCCCTAGCAAAGCGTTGATTGAAATGTTCAAACCGCTAAGCCTCAATCCCAAGCGTCAGAATGTGACTTGAAAAGAAACTCTTACAGGAAGGGATGAAGGTAACCATCGTGCACAGACGTTCTTCCTCGAGCAGTCGAGCAACTCTTTTGACAACTCTAGAAGCTATAGAGGGTACCTAAGCTTACATAAGACGAGAATCAGCAACTCACCAGCCCCTTTCACAGACTCTGTGCGCCGCCATCAGCTGATTTTCGAGCACCAGATGGGTAAAAGTTGGACATGGAGAAGACGCCCCATGAGGGTACCGTATAGCCTATACTAGGCTAAAGCGTGTGACATGACTCTTGAGGACCCTGACGCCGACGGCGACGGGCCTCCGCTACTTGGCAGCACGGCTTGCATGGCAGCGGATCAAGCTGTGTACAACAGGCTCAAGCGTGCCCAAAATCCGGACACATTGCAGACTCTGTGTAATGTCCGCAATGGGTGTACCGGTACCGTGTACAAACCAATGTACCGCGTACGTACCGATGGGTCGACAGAGTCGAGTGCGAGTCGCGACTCTGGGTGCCAGGAGCCCAGTCGAGACCTGCCTACGGTAGGAACGGTACCGTACCGCAAATTTGGAAAGGGTACCTACATTCGGCGTTACGGTTTGGACGTCCCAAGCCTGTGCTGTGCTGCCCTGTGCGGCCGGTGAATCGTCCTCTGCAGAGGCAATGCTGTTCGCTCCAGACTTGAAACTCAAGCCTTGAGCAGCATGGCCGCACCGCTCATTGAGCATTCTGTCGCTTGGTGAAGCAGCAAAGGGCCTCCGCATGCTGGTTTCGCATCGAGCATCGTGATTCGTGCAGCATATGCAGACCTCTAGCCTAGGTTTGGTCCTGACAGAGGTGAGCATACCAATCTGAGCTGATGTCCAGCAAGTCTTACGGCAGTCTCAGTTGTATATGGCCACTCGGAAGCGGGGCCGCTCAGAGGGAGGAGCGTGTTCAGAAGGGCCTGTGACTCGTAGCAAGGCCTCGCGCTTACGCTCTGGGCTGACCCTCCCGCTGCTGCCTGCCAGTAAAAGGCAGTGTGTGAGCAGTGCCTCCGCATCTTTAGCAGCACCAGGGGGCAGGGTGTCAGTTGCGGCTCAGGTGCCACCGGGAGCAGCGGGCAGTACGCGTGCTGCAACAAGGAAGCAGGCGGCGGAACTGAAGGGGAAGGGCAAGCTCGTTATGGAGAACACCTCAGACGGGAGTGGGCACATCGAAGACAAAACAAAGACAAGAGTGGTCGACAGGAAGCGGGAAAAGGGGAAGGAGAAGGAAGGGGATACAGGACCGCAGCGTGACATGGACAGAGCGGCGCGTCGGGCGGCGGCACCAGCTCCAGAAGGCTTTGCCGACGATAGTGGCGGTGCCGCTGGCAGTGCTGCGGTGCCCCCTGGGTCTGCGAGCAGCGCCCTCCAGGGCCTGCTGCGGAAGCTGGGGGCCGGCCTGGACGACCTCATGCTGTCGGGCTCGCCAGCCCTGAGCAGCGGCCGGCTGAAGACCATTCTTGTGGGGCTGCGCGCCGACGGAGAGGAAGGGCGGCAGCTGGAGGCACTGTCGTCGCTGTGCGAGCTGCTATCCATTGGGACGGAAGACAGCCTGAGCAGCTTCAGCGTGGACGCCTTCGTGCCGGTGCTGGTCAACCTGCTCAACTGCGAGTACAACTCGGACATCATGCTGCTGGCCGCGCGCGCCCTGACGCACCTCACGGACGTGCTCCCCAACGCGTGCCAGACGATTGTGCACTATGGAGCGGTGCCAGCATTCTGTGCGCGCCTCCTGACAATAGAGTACATCGACCTTGCGGAGCAAGTAAGGGTTTGCGCTGAACAAACTCTGTGAGAAGACAACTAGCTGCAAGACAGCTCACTCCGTGCATGGCTTGTAATGCGCGTGTTGTTGACGGTGAAGAAACCACTTTCAAGAAGTGTCCTCTTACGTTGTTTGCCTTGCAAGCTCGCTTCTAAACCCTTGCGTCCTCGCAGAGCCTTCAAGCGCTGGAGAAGATCTCATTCGAGCATCCTGCTGCTGTCTTGCGCGCTGGGGGCCTGCTGGCAGTCCTCTCCTACCTCGACTTCTTCTCAACGGGAGTGCAAGTGAGATGGACCGCGACTCTCCAAGAAGGCCTACCGTCATGCTGATACAGTTTGTGGGTTCAAAGCATGTGCAAACATTGCATGTTCCTGTGTTTTGGTTGATCCCAATGAGAAGCACAGATAAGCTCACACCCGGATGTGTTGATTGCAGCGTGTAGCATTGTCGACAGCGGCCAACATATGCCGCCAGCTTCCCTCGGACTCTGTAGAGCTGATCAAAGACGCAGTTCCCATCCTCACCAATCTACTCCAATATCAAGATGAGAAGGTGAGGGAAAGCAGGAAAGCAGGGTTTGTCTCCAGGGAGGCTGTTTTTGTTGACTACTGATGCTCTAGTGTTGCAGCGCTTTCTTCTGTGGAACACCTTTGGTTGGGAACGCCTGTTTGTTGTTGGCTGTTGCCCCTTGTTGCTCCAGTCCCAGCCTGGTGTGCTGCGCGCCTCACCCTGCCCCGTGCGTGCCTGCTCCTGCCAGGTGGTCGAGCACGCGTGCGTGTGCCTCTCGCGCATTGCGGAGAACTGGGCCCCCTCCAGCCAGAAGCTCGACCTCCTCTGCTCGCACGGCCTCATTGCACAGGCAGCGCGCCTCATTGCGGCGCCCGCCAGCGGGGCAGGGCCTCAAGCGGCTCTCAGCGTTGCCACATACACCGTGAGGCCCGCCTACATCAGCTGCACACCAGCCTTGCGTGTCGGCAGTCGCATGTGCTGCCCCCAACTCATTGGTGATGGTCGTGCAGTGCCCGCTTGTCCACTCTTATTCCCTTCCCTGCGCTGACCCTGACCTTTCTGTGCACAGGGCCTGGTGCGGCTGCTGGCCACGTGTGCTGCTGGCTCCCCCGCGGTGGTGGAAGCGCTGCTGGAGCAGGGCATCATCACCATCCTGCGCGACGCGCTGGCAGGGGCCGCCGCAGGGCCTGCCGCAGGAGTAGGGCCGGCCGCCCTCACCCGCTCACCGGAACAGGTGAGTGCCCTACAGCGCTGTCGCTTGAGGATTGGATGCCTGCGAGGGGTCATGGCCGACACGCCTGCGGTTGTTTGTTCGTTCCATCCATCTCCCTCCCTGCTTTTTCGTCTGAGGTTCCCCTCCTACCTGGCCTGCAGCTGTATGAGCTGATGTCCCTGGTGAGCGAGCTGCTGCCGCCTGTGGTGGACCCGGGGGTGGCGCTGCCTGCTGGCCCGGCCCCGGAGGCAGGCAACCGGGCGGCCCGCCGCAAGGCTGCCCAGGAGGGGGGCGCATCTCTCAGCGCGGTGAAGGAGGAGCCTGGCGGCGAGGCGGGCAGCGCGCGAGAGCGGTGGCTGGCGGCGCACCCCGGCCTGGTGGAGCAGTACGGGCGCGACCTGTTCCCCGTGCTGCTCCAGGTGTACGCCGCCAGCGTGAACCCTGCCGTGCGCAGCAAGTGCCTGACCGCCATCAACAAGTACCTGCACTTTGTGCGCCCCGACACCCTGCAAGTCGTCCTCAAGGACTCCAACATCGCAGGGTAAGGATCAGGAGCGGCCGCCCGAGCTCCGAAAGTTGCAGGTTGCTGGGAGGGGTCTCGTTTTCTAGATTGAAGCTGGACCTTGCAGTCCCTCTCCTAGTACTCACGCAAGGCGTGTGCGCGTGCGCAGGTTCCTCGCGGGGGTCCTGGTGTCCAAGGATGCGGCCGTCCTCAACACAGCGCTGCAGATTGCGGAGGGCCTGATGGCGAAGCTGCCCGACGTGTTCCGCCGTCTGTTTGTCAAGGAAGGGGTGCTGCACGCTCTGGATGCCTTGGTGGCCACGGAGCCCAGCCTCGCCCCCGCGCTCGACGCGGCAGGGCCCGCAACGGCGGAGGAGGCTGCGGCTGGCCCGAGCACCGGCCTGACCGCCCGGCCGAAGCGGGCCAGTGCCAAGCAGCGGCGGAAGGAGGAAGAGAGTGAGGGAGCGGCATCGGGAGCCAGTGGGAGAGAGGGCAGCCTGGCCTTGGGGCGCAGCGAAGTGGAGGCCGCAGGGCCCAGCAGCGTGGTGCGCACCCTGGCCCAGCCGAGCGCGGGCAGGGCCGGGCTGCGCCTGGTGGCGGCAGCACGAGCGCGCCGGCTCAAGGAGACTTACTTCGGGGGCGGGGAGTCGGAGAATGACGATGCAGCCCGGCTGAAGAAGTTGAAGGAGCTGTGCGCGCAGATTTGCGGAGGGGGGAAGCCAGTGGGAGAGAAGGGCCATAAGAAGTCGGGCAAGCACAAGGGCAAGAGGGGCAAGGAGAGAGGCGGGGCGGGGGAGGTCCCGGACCCGGATGTGGCCGCGCTGAAGGAGGTGCTGGATCTGCTGCTGGAGGGAGACGGCATGTCCACCTTCGAGTTTGTGGGCAGCGGGGTGGCGCCCGCCCTGCTCAAGCTGCTCACACATGGGCAGGCGGCAGGCAGGAAGCAGCGGGAGGCGGCTGGGGCGGCCGCGCAGCAGGAGCCCGCGCAGGTCCTGGCCCGCCTGCAGCGCATCACCGACCTGCTCCTGCCGACGGAGGCCACCGCGGAGGACGCCCCCCTCACGGTGCTGGTGCGCAAGCTGCAGGCGGCCCTCACGTCGCTGGAGCGCTTCCCGGTGATGCTCAGCCAGGCCCCCTCTGGGGCGCGCGCTCTGGGGGCGCGCGGCAGCGGGGGCGTCGCAGGGGGCCTCAGTGCTCTCACGCAGCCGTTCAAGCTGCGCCTGAGCCGCGCAGTGGGGGAGACGGCGCTGCGCGACTACTCGAGCAACGTGGTTCTGATCGAGCCGCTGGCCACCCTGGCCGCCGTGGAGGACTTCCTGTGGCACCGCGTGCGCGGCCGCACCGACGTGCCGCCCACCACCAACGGCGCCAGCACCAGCAACACCACCGCCGCAGAAGCCCAGCTGGAGGCGGCGCTGGCAGCCGCAGCCGCGCAGTTTGCGGCCAACGGACGGCCTGGGGCTGGGGAAAGAGCAGGGGAAGGAACGGCAGGTACCAGTGCTGGGGGAGAAAGCCGGCCGCTGACCCGGGCTCAAAAGAGGGAGGCATCGGCCGCAGCAGCCTCCCAAAGTAGGAAAGACGGAGTCGGCAAGAAGGGGCCACAAGCGCCAGGCACAGCGGTGGAACCGCGGGTGACCCGGGCTGCCGCGCGGCGGCGAGCGGAGGCGAGCGAGGCTGGAGCGGGGCAGGAGGAGCGGGGCCTGGCGGGCGAGGAAGAAGGGGGGGAGCATCACAAGCACGAGCTGGACAGCGAGGTGAGCAGGCCGCGAGCAGAGAGGACGGAGCCGGTGGGGCTGCCGGCATACGAGGGGTGGCAGGGGCGAAGCGGGGCGGGGCGGCCTAAGGAGAGTGTCCCCCGGCTTCGCATCTGACTCTGTGTTGCCGCTGTGCAGGAGGAAGCCGATCTCCACGGGATGGAGTACGAGGAGGGCCTGGCCATGATGGAGGAGGACGACGACATGTCGGAAGACGAGGAGGTGAGGCGGGCATCGCAACTCTTAGTGCTGCGGACTCTCTGTGGCGCACCATCTTCGAAGCTCTCCCCTGCGTCTTCTGCTGCGCTCGCAGCGCTGCGTCTGGTTGCCCACCCCGTGCCTGTCCTTCTCCCCAGGTGTATGGCGAGGAGGCGCTCCCCATCCCCGACAGCGTGCATGACGTCCAGCTGGGCGGAGACGCGTCAGACGCTGCCGCTCCTGCTGCACCAGGGACCCTCTCCCGCCACGCGGCGTCGGGCCTGCCCCCGCCCCACCCTGCCTCGCAGCGAGTCCCCGCCGGTGCAGGCCAGGAGGCTGCCAGCTTTGCAGCTGCGCTGGCGGGTGGGAGGACGCGGGCGGCGGAGGCTGGCAGCGTGGCCAGGCTGCAGTTCTCCATGGGGCGGCGCGTGCTGGAGCGGCACATGACCATCTTCCAGGCCATCCAGGCGCAGGCGCAGGCCGCCGAGGAGGACGCCGACGAGGACGACGCGCGCGAGGCCGACGTTCTGCTGCCCACCAGCGGCCGCCGCCTCTGGGACGCCGTGTACACCATCTCGTACGCCACTGCGCCGCCGCAGCCGCCCACCGCGGCCGCCGTCGGGGATGCCAGCCCCAGCGACGCTGTGGCCGGGCCATCCGTGGAGGAGGTCGGGGCGGGCAGCCCGCTGGACGTGGTGCGCGCCCCGTGGCTGCCGGAGGAGGTGGCACCGTCGCGGCGGGCGGTGCGCGAGGTCCTGGAGCTGCTGCGGCTGCTGGAGGCGCTGAGCCAGCTGGTGCCGCGCATGCGCGCCGAGGCCGCAGCCGACGCAGTGGCGGAGGGCCGGCACGCCACGCTGCAGGAGGCCGTCCGCGAGCAGCAAGCGCGCAGCAGCGTGCGCGTCGAGGAGTTCCTGAGCACCAAAATTACCCCCAAGCTCACGCGCCAAATGCAGGTCAGTCCCCCCTGCTGCTGAGCGCTCGGCTGCAGCCTGTCCTCTCCTTGTGGCCGCAGCAGCTCTTGCACAGGTGACAATCGCCGCGGTCCTCCCACTGACGTGCGTGTGCCCTGTTGCTTGTGCGCAGGACGCGTTGGCGCTGTGCAGTGGCAGCCTGCCCCCCTGGGTGCACCACCTGACGGCGGCGTGCCCGTTCCTGTTCCCCTTCGAGGCGCGCCGGCAGTACTTCCACGCCACTGCGTTTGGGCTCTCGCGCGCGCTGCAGCGGCTGCAGGCGCAGCAGAGCTCGGACGGCGCGCCGGTGGCCGTGGACCGCGACGGGCGCGAGGTGCGCGTGGGCCGGCTGCAGCGCCAGAAGGTGCGCGTCTCGCGGCAGCGCATCCTGGAGAGCGCGGCCAAGGTGTTTGAGCTGTACGCGGCGCACAAGGCCGTGCTGGAGGTGGAGTACTTCGGGGAGGTGGGCACCGGCCTCGGGCCCACGCTCGAGTTCTACACCCTGCTCTCCCACGAGCTCCAGAAGAAGCACCTCCACCTCTGGCGCGCCGACGCGCCCGCCCTGCCCGACCTCAAGCTGCCGGACGTGCCGCTCGACACTGACGCCGACCTCATGGACCTGGACGACGCGGCTGCGCCAGGTGAGCTACGACAGACAGCCGCTACGTTTCCCCACTCTCTTGTTGCTCCAGCACCCCGGGGCATACACCCAGGATTCGACAACTGTACAGGTTTTTGACCTGCCCGTGTTTGCTCTTAGGCATGCCCTTTTCCGCTAGGCCGCTCTCTTGTGCCTCACCGGCTCTGCCCACTTTGTCAGGTGCTCTACCAGAGGCCGCCGTCAGCCCCGCGCCCGGTGGCTCCCCCCCCGTGTGCACGGAGTCGTCGTTCGTGCATGCCCCGCACGGGCTGTTCCCGCGGCCCCTTGCGCCGGCCGCCCCCGCAGCGGAGCGGCAGCGCGTGGGGGACCACTTCCGCCTGCTGGGGCGCGCCATGGCCAAGGCGCTGCAGGACAACCGCATGCTCGACCTGCCGCTCGCACCCGCCTTCTACAAGCTCGCTCTCGGACAGGTGCGCCATCCCACACGCCCAGCGCACACTTCTTGAGCAGGTGATTGTAGTGACCCGTGCTGCCTGCCGACTAGCCTGCTGGTTGTGCGATGTGCGCATGTGCGTGCCTGGCTGAGGCGCGTGGCGTGGTGGGCGTGCCTGCGCAGGCGCTGGACCTGCACGACCTGGTGCGCGTAGACCCCCCGCTGGGACAGCAGCTGGAGCAGCTCGACCTGCTCATCCGCCGCAAGAAGCACCTCGAGGCGGCGGGCGGCGCGCCGGGGGCGGCGGCGCTGCTGGTGGGCGGGGTGTCGGTGGAGGAGCTGTGCCTGGACTTCACGCTGCCGGGCTACCCCGAGTACGAGCTCAAGCCCGGCGGCGCAGAGTGCGGCGTGACGGCGGGCAACCTGGAGGAGTACGTGCGCCTGCTGCTGCGCGCCACGCTCGACGACGGGGTTGCGCCCCAGGTGGACGCATTCCGCGCCGGCTTCAACCAGGTGCGCACCGCCCGCTGCGCTACCCCGCGCGCACCGCCCTCCCTGAAGTCTCCCCCCGGACGGCTTCGCCTCCGAAATGTCCGCCCTGCTTGAGCGCAGGAGAGCTGGGAGTGTGCCGGCTGCTGTGTGCGGGGCTGACCCGCGCTGGGTGCTGTGCTGGGTGCAGGTGTTCCCGCTCGCCTCGCTGCGCCTCTTCACGCCGGACGAGCTGGAGGCCCTGCTATGCGGCAAGCGCGAGCTGTGGACGGTGAGGCCACAGCAAACCCGCCCCTTGTCATGCAGGCCACCAGTTCTTTCTGCGCACCTTCCTTGGCAGTCGAGTTACAAGCCAGACCGCGCCCTCGTATTGACCCCCGCCCCGCTGGTGCGCCTGCCTGCAGCCGGAGAGCCTGGCGGAGCACATCAAGTTCGACCATGGCTACACCGCGGGCAGCCCCCCCATTCAACACGTAAGTGCCCCTGCGGTTGTGGTCCTGAAGAATCGTGCATTGCTGTTCCCACCAGCCGGACGAGCGCCGCCGCCTTCTTTGCCCCTGTCCGCCCTTGCTGCGGCTGTGTGTGAGTGACGCGTGCCTGCCTCGGCCTGCAGCTGCTGGCCATCATGGGCGAGTTCACCCCCGAGGAGCAGCGCAGCTTCCTGCGCTTTGTCACGGGGGCACCGCGCCTGCCGCCCGGGGGGCTGTCCGCGCTCACGCCGCGCCTCACCATCGTGCGCAAGGTGAGGGATCAGCGCTGGTGCGCGTATTGAAGCCACACTCGAATCCCTCAAAAGCGCTGCTCTGGATTAAGTGCAACTTGCGGGCATGTGCTTGCCACAGGGCAACCGTGATGGGCCCATGTTAGAATATTAGGCGGTGCTGGGTCTAACGCTGGCCTCGGTGCAGCACCCGAGTGGAGGCACGCCCGCGGCGACACTGGGATCCACCCCCCCCGGCTCTGCGCTGGCCCCGGGAACTACGCTGGCAGACGGGGACCTGCCGAGCGTCATGACCTGCGCCAACTACCTCAAGCTGCCGCCCTACTCGTGCAAGGTGAGCCCATGGTGGGGCTGCTGCGATGCGGCTGATCCGGGTCACCACAAGTGCGTGGTTCTTCTCCCCTCGCTCATTTTGACTTCCCATGACGTGGATTCTCCAAAGTCAAGACTTTTCCGTGAAGTTTGGAGGTGCTTTAACTATCGGAGTCCGTGTTTTGCAGGCTGTAATGAAGGACCGACTGTTGTATGCTATCAAGGAGGGGCAGGGCTCCTTCGATTTGTCGTAGGCATGGCAACGGTCGCTTAACGCTCAAGCATGTAAAGAATAAAAAGAAAACCAAGTTTTGATGTCTAGCACACGGAAAGAGAAATGAACTACGTGGAAATGACATGGAAGTGTGCATCGAGGTGCATTATGTCATCGTTTTAAAGATGCTTGGAAGCTTGACCGTTGTGATGCTTGTAGTCGAGACCACTTTTCTTGTGACATGCACCTTTACGTTCAATTGGATTCATCACCATGTGTAAATCACCAAGCCAGCTCTCGAGAACTCTTCTACATGCCTCTAAAGAAAGCTAGCACCTAGTATTAGACGGGGTGGCAAAAGTCTTACAAGGATGCGGACATGTTGTAGCATCGAACCATTATGCTGACCGCTCCGTGGTCCATTCCTCCATATGGTTTTGTCGTCATTCTCTCGTCATTAATTATGATGAAGCAACTCGAGAAGGTACCATGTGCTTGAAACGCAGGAATTGCCGTTCTTGGTCTGAGAGTTTCCGATCGGCTTCGCATATGCTTCCTCCGACTGTCATGAAAAATGGATTTATTGCGGAACCAATTGCAATATCTAGGGCCTCTAACATATCACGACATGCAAATGTCGCAAACCCTTAAACCAATTCTGACTTTCATGTTAACAGGAGTCGTCGATCTAGGCTTTTTGAACATGGGCACGGATGTTTGGAACGAGCAAGAAGTGGGGATAACTGGGCTTTCAAGTTGAGTCACATTGTAGTTTTGGATCACTTTGATAAGTACACAACATGCACAAAGATGAGACTTCATCGTAGAGTCATGTTGGGTTCGTACTTTGTACGTATTGTGTACTTTGTCTCGTGGCCAAGCGGGGGCCAAGCAAAGTAAGTACCCCGTGCATGATCAACTGATTCAAATCATGATTGATACCAAGCTTATCGTTCTGTGAACCAACCTGCATGATGCATAATCATTCATAGGGATATCCTGACTGATATTACCCGAGGGTTAAGGCAGAACTGCCATATGCGCGCTAGCTGCGAATGCAAGGTAACTCGAGCTATGTTACTAACCGCATATAGCCGGCATAACTAACTACTGCCAGGCGAATCCAATGATGACCGGAAGCTTCAGCAATAACTTTCAAAACATGAGCCATGTAGCACTTTGACAGGATTGTGGAGATTGAACAGTGTGCATAAGAGATCACCACACTGGTATGTTGAAATTGTGAGCATGAATGCATAATGAACCCAAGTGCACAATCAAAGTAATCAGCCAGTGCAGAAGTACAATACGGCACTGCTGCAAGCTGTCTGTGCTGCTATCTCCACCAGATGATTGGAACAAGCTCAATGGGTCTCTGGCCCTCAAGGGCACTTAGTGTTATGCTGCCACAAAGTAGCTATGCTCCTACATCACTGTCGGGCCAGTCGTACCAAAGCCCCCCCCCAAGCATCTGAGGTCACTCTGCAAGCATCATGCCATGATACTCAAAGGATGTGCAAGCAGAAGCATGGCAAAGCATGTTCAAGCAAGCATGCATGAAAGGAAGGGAAAGGGTGTACTCATTTTGAGGGGGCCCCGGCGGTTGTTCATGTCAGAAAGCCAGGCAGAGCGCGTGCAACAACGAGTCGAAGCAAGACCGATGCAAAGCAGGTGCCATGGAACAGCAAAGAAGAAGCGGAAAAAAATACCTGTAACCACCCAAGTGAAGAATGGCGTCAGTCACAACTTTCTTGCAGCGGAGTATCTAAGCAGAATGCTTATAGAGCGCCTCAGTTATGTGATGGGAGGAGCGCCTATGTTGTGCTGTTATGTCTGCACTTAATGCCAATCATCTGCCTTGTTGAATGCGCCGCCATCGGCGAGGTCGGTTTTCCTGTTGCCGAGCTGTGGAGGATCTGTGCAGGACCTGTTGCTGATGCAGGAACTGCGCAGACACTGTCGAAGGTTGTTAGCAATGATTCAAAAGTTGTACGTAGTCTTTCGAAGTCAATTCCTGTGATGCAGGACAGTCCGTGCTGCATGCGCAACCCTGTGCCGACGGATATCTGCATCATCTGCGCAAGATTCGTTTCAATGACTGGCTCGGATCACCCGTCGCCAGTTAAAGCCGGTATAAAAGCATGTGAACCCGCCACGCAGCACCGCCAGATTGGCCGAGGTACTGGCGCCAAGCCGTCGCCTTACATTCTAATTATTATAAGAGATTCTGTCAGTGAGGCAGGCTCATAAACGTGCTAGGGTGTGGCGCAAATGTAAGAATTTATTTAAGTCTTTTGGTTTTATTTTCCCATTCCATCCTATCCCTCCTGCAGAAGTTCGTGCAGGATTCTGTCTTAAGACTCGTAGCTCTGTGGTGAGCGAGGCGACCTCGTGTGTGAGTCGCTTTAATGGACGGGCAACCGTTTTCGAAGTTTCGAGATGCCCTCTTCTCGCTGATCGAGATGGTTGCGTGGCAGACTCCCGTGAGATCGACGCAAGCTTGTTGGCCACGTTGTCGGCTTTGCAAAGCCATCTGATGTTATCGATTGTGTAGTGTCAATTAGAGTCTACACGGTCGAGTTGATAGAGAGTGTAGAGTTTAGTGTCTGGATAGCGTGGAACAGGACCAAGAAATCGATCGACGATCATGGCAAAGGCGCAGAATGCGTACTTGTCCCGACCGTTTGTGATTCCGGGCATCCAAAAGGCAGTAAATGAAAAGGCCACGCGTGTTGTGCCGTAGGCATGTGACTTGGCGTGAGTGCGCTGTTGAAGGTATCCCCACTTTTCGTAAAGCGGATGTTCCGTATTACTGACAGCACGCCAAGTACCCTCGGATTTTGTCCAGTGAACTCGAAGCAACGGCTCATTGTAAACAGGTGAGACGTACTGGAGCAATGATTTATATCGAGTTTTTCTAGGTTGTTTTGCAGGCACGTACAGACCTGTTGAATTGTTGAAACGCCGTCATTGATGTAAATTTTTGACGGCATCTGTAGCAACAATGTCAGAAGAGAGTCGGGCAATGTGTCTGGTCGTAGTCCATGATGCATTAAGTTAGAGCGCGATTGTGAATAGAGGACAGAATGGGGAGGCCGTCAAACGCCGTAGCAGCTGAAAGTGCTCTAAGATGGAAAAGTTTGCCTTCCTGTACCTGGCAGAGAATCGCTCGGCATTTGAGCGTCAGACGGTTATATTGTGTCGTGTAGGATGGAACGACTCCCCGTCAAAGCGTCCTGACGAACAAAAGTCCGGACGGTTGGGCAAGCGGCTGCATGTAACACTCAATGAAGAAATCATGTTCGAGAAAGCCAGGAAAGAAATCGATATCGAACAGCGTGGGAAGGGAGTCCGAAAAGGGTGTTTTGGGAGCCCCAAAGTACAGATCGACGCGCTGCCAGCCGAGTGAATTCGTAAGGAGTTTCGAGAAGGTTGGCAAAGCTTCGGAATAAGAGATCCGTCTGTGAATCTTTGCCGCAGCAAATCCGTAAGATCCCTCAAGGGCTCAGTTTGTAAGGTGAGACCAGCGTCAGAGGTGGAGGGATCCTCTGCTGGAAGGGAGGCATTTCCCATAACAAGGAGAGGGTAGGTCCTCTGCAAGGAGACGGAGAGGAGATATGTTTGTGGTGCCAAGTTATGAAGGTGTGTCTGCACCAAGCGCCTGAGGTGCCGAATTGAGTTGATCTGCGGACCAGCTCAAGGTCCGATAAGCGAAGTCTCCAACATAGAATGTGAGCTTGGTTGTACCGGTTGTAACTTTTTTTCGCTACAACATCGGTATTCCCGGTACCTACAAGCTTACAGACCTTCGGGCTCTCGGCTCTCCATGTCATTTGAGCCCTGGTCGTAATCTTTCATGGACGGTCATTTGAATATTATATTTTATTCAATATTCACCGACTGCTCACAGCATGCCATTGCATCAGCATCCGCGGGGTTTGATCCAAGTACGTTCTACGGTGTTCCGAAGGGTACATAAGGCCATTGATATTTTGGATTGTGACTCAGCTGAATGGTCACTAGATTTCACTCGGGTACATCCTTGAACCGTGGCTTATCCTTCAGCGCTTGGCCACTCCTGAGATTATTACGCTAATGCTTCTGGCTGGGAATATTAACTTTGATTTTTTGACAGCCGCATATTTACTTATGGCAATTACGTTCAAATTCGTCTTTCCTTTTGATATGGTGTCGTTTACCTATACCAAAACCCGTGTCCATCCAGCATCAAAGCTAGTGCCTTAAGCGTTCTTGCAAGGTTTCGCATGTGAGTGCCCTCGTGCATATACTATATTTTCACCATCACCAAACTGCGCATCTAGAAATCAAGCCAGCTCACTCTGCCATTTTGCTTGTAGACTTGTCTAGAATTGGGTCTCTAAGCCGTTCGTGGTGGGCCTAAAAACTTTATTATGTTTCAGAGAAAGCATTTTGTACGGATAAATACATATTTTGATCCATCTTGAAATCTTTTTGTTGACAAAAGCCACGCCAGTTATGCATCATGCCAATAGATATATCACGGAGAGCTTGTGTAATGGAAAACACAAAGCCACGTGACTTCCAACAAAAGGTCAAAAGCGGAAGAGGCTGGAAATTTTGTTCTCGTTGATTTGCTGGTGCGCAGCGTCCCTTGCTACATTGTTGCACCAGACGTTTCAATCAGTATTGTTAATAACACCCACTTTACTACGTTTCAAACAGTTCAGTTAGTAACATTAGCTCTTAACTGTGGTCTCTAAGAGTACAAATTGAACACTGAAAAACTCCAAATCTGGCCTATCAAGTGGCCGCTAAAAAAGTGCGTCATGAAATCCTTTAATTATTCTCTGAGCACTACGTCTTTGTTGAGGTACGGGCATGTAGGAACCGAATCTTTCGGTGACTCCAGAGTTTTGGGACCACGATGTCGACGGCAATACGACTGTACTCGTAATTACGGTTACATGGTAAATGCGCGCGGGTTGCAGCGTTGCTATCGGAATGACATAGTGGTAACAGTTGATATTGTGTAGGTTTGATAAGAGCCGTCGTTGTAGGATACAATTTCGAACTTACTAGGTGACGATCCACTATAGATCTAGAGATAGGCCCTGACTCAGAAGACTCCATATACGTTGTGTGAACTTGATTTATTTAATATTACTTCCAACAACGCTGAATTTCGACATTTTTGAATTCTTTTTTGAAATTCAAGTACCACAAGCCTTCATCTTCGTTCAATAGTCCTTTCAGAGTCTTAGGTTGTTCTAAAGCACGAGTCTGAAGCCCTTTTTAAATTCTTTGCTCACTTGTTGAAAGCTCGTTCATAATCAACACTTACCAAGGACATTGCCTTCTAAAATCTTTGTTCGGGCCTGTAACCTCTTTCATGCGAAGCCTGCTTTTGAATCCCAAGAAGAGCGGACAGCCAACGCGGCCTGACACCAGGGAAGACTCAAGGGATAAGCAACAAATTCGTCCCTCCTCGGACAAGACGATCTTCTCATGTAAGGTTGTATCTTATACGGGAAACTTGAATCATAATTCCATGTCATTCACGAGACATGTCCACATAGATCACATACAATGTGTTTGGATGTTTGTCCATTTATTATATGTCTTTGAAACATCAACTTCAAATTGAGTTGATGTAAACGTCACTGGGCTCTCTTTGCCCTTTCCGATCTTCTTGGACTCCCCCACAATTTCGCGCATCGTTTCCACAATCGGCCCACTTTGGCCTTTCTTTGAAATCGTGCGCGCGACGCGGCCGCGGTCCGTCGCGGGCGCGTGCGCGTCCCCCTCGCGCGTCATTTCAAACTCCGCCCCTTTTGGGAGCTTTTGTGAACTGGTGCGCGGCACCTCATCCGCCCCCATAAAAGTTCCCCACTCCTGTTCGACGCCCCTATTCTCGTCGTCCGATTCGTCTAGTTCGACCTCCACGACCTTCACCGTCTTTTTCACCACGCTTTCCGCTCTTACCGGCCTCTTTGCCGTGGCGCACACCCGGTTCTCCTTGACCGGACCCCTCG